GGTGACTGAAAATGGTGAGAGAAGATGACAAGGTGATCCCGGTGCGTGTGGCCCTGCGCTGCCGTCCCTTGGTGCCGAAGGAGACCAGCGAAGGGTGCCAGATGTGCCTGTCCTTCGTGCCGGGGGAACCGCAAGTAAGGGAGCCGGCCTGCTGCGCCTGGGGGCCGGCCTTGCCTTCCCCCCGGGGTCTGCTGCCAGGGTACCGGGGCAGCGCGGTCAGCGCTCTCTGTTCTCGTCTCCTCCGCAGGTGGTTGTAGGTAACGATAAGTCATTCACCTATGATTACGTGTTCGACCCTTCTGTTGAGCAAGAGGAAGTCTTCAACACAGCTGTTGCCCCTCTCATACGAGGCATCTTCAAAGGTTTGTGGTAACTGAGTTCAAGCTCTGTTTTAAAATACTGGGGGTTTTGGAAGGCTCAGCTGGAAGAAGGTGCTGTTTAATTCTCTATTCTGTTTTACTTTTTCTCAGAAAATAAAATCTTGCACTAGCCTCTAGCGAGAAATGCCAAATCTTGCCTGTTTACAACCTGTTGTACTCCACAGAGCTAACAAAATGACTTGTGTGTGTTCTTTGGGTCATTTTGGTTCCTGAAGCTATTTATGTAAGGGAAGAGAATTTTATCAAGCAAAATATGATGAATTGATAAGCATCCCATACCACAAGCTGTTAGCGACGCTACGGTGGAGCTGAGATGACAGAGAACTTACACTGTGTTTCTATAACTAGCTCTACTAAAGCAACAGTGCAGATTTTAAAAAGAACTGGAATAATAATTTTATCTGTGTTTTGGGGAGCTTTTCATTGACTTGTTTTTCCCATTGGTGTTGCTGTGACCTGAGCATAAAGCTTCTGTAAATTGATGGCAAGGGGCAGTGCTTTTCTGGAAGGATGATTTTACTAGAATGCAGCATTGTTCATCAGAGTTTCTTCTGGTTCCCACGTGACTGTCTGATCTGGGCGCCCTTTGTTCCCCTAGGGTATAATGCTACTGTCTTAGCTTACGGACAGACGGGATCTGGAAAAACGTACTCTATGGGAGGTACCTACACTGCCAATCAAGAGCATGAACCTAGTGTGGGGGTCATCCCTCGGGTAATCAAACTGCTGTTTAAGGAGAAGGAGCAAAGGCAGGATTGGGAATTCGTCCTCAAAGTTTCTTATCTAGAGGTAAAATTTGTTTTGATTTTCAGACTATTCTAAAGTTATGAATTACAGTTCACCTCCTTCAAGTAATAGGTATTTATTAAATTAAAGCCTAACACTACATAACTTGTCAGGAACTGGATTCCGAGGCTAGGTATATTTCTGGAAAGGTAAAATGAACAGAATGTCATGCAAAGTTACCCATGATTTCTGTGTAACTGTACGTCTGTCCTTATGCGAATTGTTCTCTTGTGAGGCTGCTAAATCTGAACTGCAGTTCTGATGCTTTCAGATCTACAATGAGGATATTCTAGACCTGCTGTGCCCATCAAGAGAGCGGTCTTCTCAAATTAGTATACGGGAAGATCCGAAAGAAGGCATAAAGGTCTGTTGTCCTGTTAGATATGGGTACATAAGGGGGGGTGATGTGGCTCGGGATGAATATGTCAGTGCAACAACTGTCTGACTCCTTCAGCACTGATTTATATTAGTGCATATGAAATCATCGCAACTACTTATTCCTCTCAAATTTGAGCTGTTGATGATCCTTAAGTTTACTTGGATAACACCAATAGTGTTAGATATTCATGACAAAGCCACTTGCAAGTCCTATTCTGACTCTTAAATCAGCCTTCAAAAAAAAAAAGTGAATACCTGAGAATGTTTTACTTTGGGTCCCTTCACCAATTTCCAAACTCTGTTGTGATTGTGACAGTTCGGCAGAAGTAGCATGCAACAAAGGGATCCCGAGGGGCAACTATTTAAGTGCCCAAGTTATCTCTACAATACTCCTAAGAAAATGTGCGCTTATAGCGTAGTGCAGAAAAACCTTGTGCTACTGCTTGCGCTGTGTACTTGTGTTGTGGTTGCACTTCTGTCCATTGGTTGCGATTCATTCATACAGCTTCAGTTTGCAGCGGTGGGTAGGTTGTTGGCTGTCATACACACAGCTTAAGTGTGCGTGACACCTGAAGCTTTGATCCATTAATGCTTTTGTTATGTGTAATCTTGTGCTGCTCGCTGTCATCTCTAAAGTACTGGGGTGTGACTGGCTGTGTTAGCAGTGGCATTAGGATCCAGGGAGACAGACCCTTCAGGGAAAGCGCGAGCTTGCCAAGGAGCACGACCAGTCCCTACTACTCGGTCCCCTCTGTCCTTTATGTCCCTAATACCTACCTGCACTCTGTTCACACAAATGCCCCACCCCCGTCAGCCAGTTTTCCCCTTCCTCTGCCTGTGACTGGCAGAACTTTCAGCTCCCGGCTTGGCTGGGGATATCTGAGGGCAGCTATGATTTTCTCCACAGAGTACTGAGGAGCCCTGCCTCCATCCTGTAGCCCAGTTGGTCCTCAAGCAGGCACTGAGGAACGTGGTGTGTGTATGTAGGAGTAGGAGGAAGGAGAGGTGATGTGGCTTAATGTTACTGATATGAAGTTCAGAACAAATTTTTGCTGGGGGAATCCATACCAAGTCTCTGGCTTGAAGTGAGACTGATTCTTGTGAATGGGTATTTACACAGGGACTTCACTTTGTCTGCTGTAGTCTAAGACAGAGAATATTTTTTTCTGATGTAAGTTGGAGTGAAGAGGGAGGAGAGGATAAATAATGCTTTCTTCCTGGGTACAGATTGTAGGGTTAACAGAAAGAAATGTCACCTGTGCCCAAGATACTGTATCCTGCCTAGAGCAAGGGAACAATTCCAGAACAGTGGCCTCCACGGCAATGAATTCCCAGTCCTCACGGTCCCATGCCATCTTCACCATTTGCATTGATCAGAAGAAGAAAAATGACAAGTAAGTGTGATCGTGCAGCTACTCCTAGCAGCTGTTAGGAGTCAAATGTACTCAAAATTTCATAGTCCTGTCATTCTTTCTGGGCCTTGGATGAACTCAGCTGAGCTGCTCTTGAGGCTGTTTCTTTATTTGGCTGGCTGATATGAAGTATATCTTTCAGCCTAGTAGCTCAACTGAATAGTTTCTTTCTGCTATAGGAACAGTAGTTTTCACTGCAAGCTACACCTCGTTGATCTTGCTGGCTCTGAGAGACAAAAGAAGACCAAGGCTGAAGGAGACAGACTAAAAGAAGGTCTGTTGGAAAAGGACTGGTATAGCTTGGGTTTCTTACCACTTTTGAGTTAATGAAAAAGCAAAGCAGTTGTTTAATTAACCTTTATAATGTGCTTTTTTAAACAGTCTTAACATTTTTAATAAGGACAGGAAATGACCAATTCCTAGCTATTGAGGTGTCTCTGCTCACTTTTATCTCTTTGTATGCAGGCATCAACATAAACAGAGGTCTCCTCTGCCTGGGGAATGTAATTAGTGCTCTCGGTGATGAAAATAAAAAGAGTGGGTTTGTCCCCTACAGAGACTCAAAGTTAACAAGACTACTGCAAGGTAAGAGACAGATGATGATAAAGCCTAAATCTACAGATATACTTCAAGTAAAGTAGCAAAAAAACCCCAACAGCCATACAATCACAGTTCAAAGCAGTAGCTGCTGTTGACAAAGAGATTGCATTTATTGGTTTAGTTAGACCTTTTCTGTGCTCTTATTTTTAGGTTGCAAATGCATTGAGATGGACTCATTTATCAGTCCTGCTCTTTTACAGTTCCTATGTGATAGGAGGAAACTAGACAAATTCAGTGCATTTTTTTTTTTTGGTAGGGAGAAGGAAGATGAGAAGTTAAATCTGGAAGCAGGGATCTATTATTATACTGTAATTATAGCTGCTTACTGGAGGATATTGAATCTCAAGCTGTCTGTGCCTTCACTGTGCGCATCATGTTTATTTTTTCTTAGTCTGAATATCTAGTCTTCCTGGTACTCATTTTTCAATAGTTGTGATAGTCTTTTAATAAGTTTTATCTAAATTAGTCTTTAATATGGACATAGCTACAGTAATGCAATTTACTGTGATTTTTCTAGTAGTTAAATAATTTGGTACAAAAAGTTAGGCTCTTCAGTATTTGCCATATCTGAAAGTAATAAAAAGAAACTGGAGTATGCAGAGACGGATGTAGGGTCCTTTTTTCCTGATCAGAAGTTTCAAATAGCCAATATATGTTAGTGTAAAACCAAAGGATAAAATGCCATACAGCTTGATGATCTGAACCAACATGTTCTTAGCCCATTACTCTTTAAATTGGAAGATTGTGTGATTTCTGATGTCTGGATATCCATGGAGGTCTTGAGTATTACTATGTGGTACAAGAGAGGGGAAAACCTGAAAGAACTGTGCCAGAAATGGCATACAGAAATTACTTAACAGGACAACAATATTACTGGGGCTTCTCATGTGAAATCATTGGTGCTTAGAGCTGAGACATAACTGTGGGACTTTGGCTTTCAAAAAAAATCTGTTTAGTATAGTGCTGACTAGGGCAGAGGAGAAAGTAGATGACAGTGACCCAAGACTAAAGCAGGATATCTTTTAGCTGTAGTATGGAGACGCACTCATGCAGTCTCGGATATCTTGATAATGATACCTTACTAGTCATTCTTCGGCGCTCTCAAAGTTTTGGTTATGCCTTGTTCTTCTTCTCAGATTCTCTGGGTGGTAACAGCCATACTCTCATGATTGCCTGTGTAAGCCCAGCGGATTCCAATCTAGAAGAAACTCTAAATACTTTGCGTTATGCTGACAGAGCAAGAAAAATAAAAAATAAACCAATTGTCAACATTGATCCCCAGGCAGCTGAGTTGCATCATCTAAAGCAGCAGGTAATGGGTGCTTTCTTCATGTGGGAGGAGTAGATCTATCCTCTTGGTACTAAGCTCAGTAAACAGCAAGTAAAGACACAGGATGCCTCGCTACACAAAATATGCAAAAAATATTTAGTGTGTGTTTCTCTGTCTCTTGAGACAGCTATGTAAGTGCTGTAAAGGGAAGACACAAATATTTATTGTAATTGTACAGCAACTATTCAATGCCACAGAAAAATGGTAGGGTGAGTGTGATTTACATTTCCCTTCCACTGACCAAATCATCACCTGGCCATTAGGCTACAGGTGAAATTAGACATACAGTGACAGTTACCTCGCTGACATCACCTGCCTATGGCCAGCACAGAGTGGGAAGTGAAGAGTGTTTCTATGTGGCCAGCTTCAGAGGGAAATAAGTTTCATAAACTAGAATTGGTTAAACCCAAAGCCAGAAGTGCCCAAGGGCTTGCCTACTGATGAGAGTTAGCCAGGCTTGCTGCGCTTACTTGACTGCGTGGATATGGCACAGTCTTTCATGTTACTTCTCCATAGAAAAACTCGGTGATCGTGTTCCACAATAGAGCAAGTATGTGGTTTTGCTTACTGCATAGGAGTGTTCACCAGAGCCTAGTGAATATTTATTAAAGTACTATAAATTCAAATCGCATATTGAAGTAGCTTAGGAAGGCAAGTGATCTGACCCTATCTCATGTGAAATGTAGCAACAGAGCATTAGTTCAGCAAAATGGGAGACCTGCCCCTTGGATCAGCGAGGTCTCTGACACTCTGCACAGAGCAGTACATCAGCTGTCTGCGGGTGGCTTACCATGCTCTGATCTGACAAAGAGAAGGTAGCTTTTTTAAGCAGTAAATTAACTTGAAATACTGTAGCAACATGATTCCTTTCCACAGGCAGTGGTAAAAGGACAATTGTGGAGCAGGTGACTCTTATTAAGACTAAGGATCTTAATAGTGTGTCTTCAACCATCTATTTACTATATGGGAGAGATTTGTAACTGGTAATTGTTTGTCTTTTTAGGTACAACAGCTACAGGTGTTACTGCTGCAGGCCCATGGAGGGACCCTCCCAGTGTCTATCAAGTAAGATTTGTAGACTAATTCTCAATGTAACTGGTGGCCATCGCACACCAGCAAAGGCTCTAGATCTCCTTTGTTCTAGACAGTGCTGTAGAGTGAGGGTAGAGCAAACTGGTTGCTTTCTAATACGATCTGGACAATCTTTTTCTCCTTTTGCTCTTTTTGTCATGCTTACTGAAACTCCGTGCACGTATGGGTCATCTAGTTTTGTAGCAAACACCTTAAGACTACAAAAATCTGTTGTAGAAATATGAGAGGAACTAGGCGATGTCTCCTAAGTATCTGTTTCTCGGACCCATCCATCCTTCCTTTCCTCCTCACCCCTCTACCCTTGAATGTAGGGCACCTCCATCTCATTGTTCTTAAAAGCACAAATACAGGAAAGAGTTGGATTGTGTAGGTGTTTTCTGAGGATGTTTCAAAACCTAAGAACATGCAGTGTGCAGACTTACGATTGGTTAAACAGCATTCCCATTTCAAAAGGAGTGCCTCATCTTGCAAATGTCTACTTTTGGTAAGCTGTATTACTTAAATTTTTTCATTCAAATTAGACTTCCTCCAGATATTTCTGTTCATCTGTTATAACCTATATTTATTGTAAGTTACTTAGGAAACTTGGAGGTAATTTCAGTACTATTACAAACCTCTGAAGTCATGTTCACAAGCAAACTGGCCTTTAATGTTTCAGTAGTATGGCACCTTCTGAGAATCTTCAGTCCCTGATGGAGAAGAACAAGTCACTAGTGGAAGAGAATCAAAAGCTGAGCCGAGGACTGAGTGAGGCTGCTGGTCAGACAGCACAGATGTTGGAGAGGATCATTCTGGTAAGGTTCAGTTACCCAAGAGCAGCTTTAAGTTGCATGACTTCCCCTTTTAGCTGAAGATTAATCAATAGCAGCTCCTGTACTAACGGCATGTTAGGAATCTCTCTTTTTAATGTTCCTTTTGCATTTCAAATTGCTAGCTATCAGTTAGAACCAGAAGTCTTCCAGAACCTGTCAGAGCCTATAGATCTGGTGATTCCAGTGGGGAAAAGTAGACATGAACCTTTCAGTTTTCTGTTGTTTTCATGTTTTAAATACCAGCACTTGCACATGCATGCACTCTCTCTTCCCTTTTCCCCACCCCACTCTGTTTTGTTTCACTGCAGTGTATATTCCTGTGAAAAAGCATGTTAAATCTAAACAAACTGGTGACGATGATCATGCAAGATCTTTCAGTGCATTGATTTGCCACAGACTGATAACATATCTTTTACTACAAATAAATTAGCTGTTTTCTGCCTTCTTATTTGGCTCTTCCTACAATTCACTATAATTCTGACTTCTCTTAGACAGAACAAGAAAATGAGAAGATGAATGCCAAACTGGAGCAACTTCAGCAGCATGCTGTGTAAGTCTGTTTCCTCACCCTACTCATATTAAGGAAATGTGTTTTAGCATTAAACATTTTTGTTGGGATAAATTGGATAAACACAAATTGATTGTATGTTCAGTGGGGAAGGTTGTTGCTTATTGGCGTGTGTGACACCAGTGTCATGCAATACTCGTGGACTTATTCCCATGTCTGCATTGCAGATGCAAGCTTGATCTGCAGAAGCTGGTAGAGACTGTGGAAGATGAGGAACTAAAAGAGGACGTCGAGGTGATTCGCAATCTGCAGCAAGTGTTGGCTCAGTTGCAGGTAAGACTGAATCCAGGGAGAGAGGAGTGTGTGCCAAGCGAGTTTACTAATGTAACCTAGGGTTCTTCTGCTAAGCGGTGGATTCCACTCTGCAGAAACGTTGCTTAAGGAGCCCAGGAATTACAACTGTTAAATGACTCTTGATATCCACTTGAAAACAAGCTGTCCTGCTGTACTTTTAATGCTGCAGGAAGGCCGCTTGTGCTTGAGTGGCTGCATGTGGTAGGGGGAAAGGAAGAGTCTCCATAAAAGAATCTGATAGTGGGACATTAGCATGGATTTACAGTCCAAAAGTTGGAAGGAGAGTTATAAACTTGGTAGTTTTGATGGGCGACCCAAATTTTGATGAGCAACCCAGAAAGAATGGCTTGTCCAGCTAGTCTAGGAGGACTATGCTCATTTTACTTAAGGAGGAAGACAATGGCATCCTCTTTCCAGAGACAGCTCTCTGGATAGAGGGCAATAACATCATGCTTTGTCAAAATAGGCCAACAGACTGTTATTAGCTTCATTTTGCTTCATCTTTCACTTTTACCAAAATTTTATTTTCTTTGTCCTATATAGACCGAAAATGCTGCCAGAATGGAAGCTGCTGCAGAGATGGCAAACTCTGAACAGGATGCTACAGCTGTAAGTGAGGGGGGTCCAGCAGTGCAGACCTTATTGGGGCATGTTTTTATCCCCTCATTGCTCCTCTTCTATCTGTGTCCTTATGCTAGTTTCTAATCCAACTGTTTGGTAAATAATATGTGTCACTTTATGTGCTGCCTTTCTATGCTCTGATTTGCTCGATGTGTTCAAGATCAATAACCTGTTCTCATTTCTGAATATCTAATTTTTTTTTATGTAAAAAAAATTAATTTGAAGTGTTCTGCAGAAACTGTGATCATGTAGTTCAAGAGCTTTGGATTGGCCTCTTCTCCTCATTGCTGTCTCTCCTCCAGGAAGCAGAAATGGGCCAGGATACCAAGAGATCCTCAGATGACTTCACCACTCAACATGCCCTTCGTCAAGCGCAGATGTCCAAAGAGCTGCTTGAATTGAATAAAGCCCTGGCTCTGAAAGAGGCACTTGCCAAAAAAATGACTCAGAATGATAGTCAGCTGGAGCCCATTCAGTCCCAATACCAGGTAAACTCTTCTGAAATAGTTCTTGAAAGGATATGTTCAGTTTATTTTTCCCAATTAATGCAGTCAGTGCATGCTGAGCGGGGAAGGGAGGAGAAGATCTGTTGTCTTATGAATGTGTTCTTACTGAGACTATCTGTTTCCTTAAGCGGGGTCACTGCCTCCTTGGGCATAGCAGGGAGTTAACTACAGGTGTCAGCAGAGAAGGTGGGGAATGACCATGCCCAGCTATCTGCAAATAGTTCTACCACCAGCAGATGATCTTCTCCCTGAAATAAGCTATTAGCCACTAGCTGTTCTATGTGGAATGGGCTTCTCTGCTTTTTACTCAGAGGTTTGCTTGGCTGCGCCAACACAAAATGCACATACTTGGTTGTTAACTCTCGTCGTAGAGCCCGCTGATCTGGCTTCCTCTGTTCAGTAGCTGTACTGGGATCTTCCAGCTCTGAAATTGTTCAATCGTAACTTTTAGTTTGTCACAATGGTTCTGTGGACCAGCTAAGATTTCAGTGTATGGCAGACTAGCCCTTTTGACACTTCTACTGCTTTTAGATAAGGTGGTTTACAGTCTGTTGGAAAGGATCCTGGTTTCTCAAGGCCTACTGTCTTGAAACCACACTCTGAGACAAAGCTTTAAGTTTCTTATTTGGAGGCTTACTACTCTTGTCCTTTCTAGACTAATATCAAGGATCTGGAATTAGAGGTCAGCAATTTGCAAAAAGAAAAGGAGGAGTTGATTCTTGCTCTGCATATGGCGAAGAAGGATGTCAACCAAGCCAAGTAAGAGTGACTATGCAAGCCGTGTGGCTTATAGCACTGAAAATTGTATTAATGTGCCTGTGAAAATTTATTGTCTTGCACTTACTTCTGCTATTTATAAAAGCTCTTATTTTGATGCGAATGCATCCCTTTAACATGCTATGTGAGTTGTATGAACTACGGGGAAGCCTGATAGTGGGCTTTCATCAGTGGGAAAGATGATAATACCCAATTGCTGCATCTTTCATAAGCTGCCTCTAAAGTTGGAGAGTACTTGTTTGAAAATAAGTTATTGGAGGGGCTGTTTTTAAAGTGTGATTTCTTTACAGACTGAGTGAACGGCGTCGGAAAAGACTTCAGGAGTTGGAAGGGCAAATTAACGAGCTGAAGAAAAAGCTGAATGAGCAATCAAAGCTCCTAAAGCTGAAGGAATCTACAGAACGCACTGTCTCCAAACTGAACCAGGAGATCAGGGTAACTAATCCTAGCATGCGGTTCTTAGGCTTGCTCCAGTGTAGACGAAGCAGCTTCCAGACAGAAGGCACTCGCTTCCTCTTTTGTTAGGCTGAGAACATCAGTTTTTGGCAAGATTCCTTTGGCTGCGTGACCACAATTCGTGGTGTAATACAATAGACAGGTGACTATTGAGGCTTGGAGGAATAAAAAGTCCAAAGTGTCTTCTGGCTGTTCTGATAATTTATTGCCTCAGTCAAATCACTTCACTTTGATTTCCACGTGTATACTGTGCATGTGTTAGTCTTCCCTTTATGCCTTAAAAAAATGAATTCTTCAGTTTTAGCACTTTGAGAGTGTCCTTAGGCATGTCCTCTGAGTGGGCAGCACACTAATATTTCCCATCTGCCACTTCCCACTCCTGACAGCCACACTAGGGGAACGTAGGTTGAAACTACCCAGAATGCAAGTACTGGATGATTCTTCCAGCCAATTCTTCCAGCCCTTTTTATTTTTCAGGAAATGAAAAGCCAAAGGGTACAGCTGATGCGCCAAATGAAAGATGATGCTGAGAAATTCAGGCAATGGAAACAACAGAAGGACAAGGAAGTGATCCAGCTGAAAGAACGGGTGAGCAAACAGTAAGCCCCCAAACTGTACCTCCCTCCAAAGAGTGAAACAAATCATTAAAGTGTTTGCTGCAAGGCTTTGTTTAACTAGCAAGCATCTGAAAAACATCTGGGGAATGCTTTGAAGATAACATTAGTTCATATGGTTGCCACCTTTCACCAGTTGTCGTAAATGGACTCGCATATGTCTGGAGACCTTAAAGCTATCAACACAGTTGTCATAATTCAGCTCTAAAGCAGAAGGCAAAAATATTTAATTTTTAAAGTATTTAAAGTTGTAGTGTTTGGCCACAGAACAGGAGATATTTAAGCTTTCAGAGGAATATTAAATCTGCAGGTAAACAGAATTGTTAATGAAATCCAGCCGCTTGTAACGTTCAAGTATAATGAACAGCAAACATCTGTACTCTTGTTCTCGTCTCACAGGAGTTCTTAATGTAACGAGCTCGCCCCTCAGTGCTTTGTGTTGCTAAGTCTTAAACTTTTGGTTTGCAGTCTCTTACAGCCTTTAGGCTCCCAAATCTTTTTAATGGAAAGTTTGGAGCTCCTTCTAGTCACTTTAAGTCAAACAGCCATTTGTTCTCAAAGGCATTACATGGCTTAAGCTTGTAATGATCAGTGAAATCATTGTCATGAAGAACTTGCGTTGCAGAACAGCAAATGTAATTATGCTGTTCCAAGAAGTGTGAAACTGGCCATAGGTATTAATGTGACGTGATTTTTTTTTTTTTTTTCTCCTATCTGTCTTAACATTATTTCCCTGCAGGATCGCAAGAGACAATACGAGCTACTTAAGCTAGAACGAGATTTTCAGAAGCAGGCCAACGTACTTCGGCGCAAAACAGAAGAGGTAAGGAGACAATATCTGCTAGAAATTCCTGACTGATTCCTAAAGGTCTGCAAAGTGTGGTTGGAGGTTGAATTAGGATATGCAGAAGCTTCTTAAAAGCAGTTTGGAGGTCTGGAAATAGGTGCTTTCCTCTCTGTAGGAAAAATACTATGCTTCTGTATTGTAGCCTTTGAGGGATTCTAGTTAAATCTGCTCCTTAAAGGCTAAATTACCCTTTAAGCATCAGGCAGCTGTGGCAAATCTATTACAGATACCAAAGCTAGAAAGTGTAAAATGAGTTTGTGTGGTGGATATGCTAATATCTTTCAGGATGGCTGTACAGAAGAAATGCATCTTGAAACCATAATTTTGGATGCTTTCTTCTACCTTTAGGACTAGAAGCAGATTCTCTTTAAACTGAGAATCTCAGCAAAGGAAATAAAGTCAAGGATTCCAGTCTGCTTAATTCTAAAGTTGTTCTGGTTTTATTAACCTCACGCTCTCATCTCATTGTCTCAATGTCTGGCTTGCATTGGGAATACCTCATGTTTTCAACCGTTGCAGATTAAGTGAAGCAACTACTGTTCCACTTTTGCGTAAAATATTTTACAGGCAGCAGCTGCTAACAAGCGCCTGAAGGATGCTCTGCAGAAGCAACGAGAGGCTGCGGATAAACGGAAGGAAAGTCAGAATCGGGGAATGGAAGGAGTTGCTGCACGAGTAAAAGTGGGTGACAACTGTGTTGTGCATTCCAACAAACAGTGGGCAAACTTAGCTTTGTTAACACAGTAGGTGCTGCTGGGGTTGATGGCTGGAGGGCAGAGGGGAGGAACATGGAGTTACATATTAAGGGAGACAATGTGATTATGCAGTTTATCTGTGAAGGCATTTCAGAAGGATTCAGTCCTAAAGTTGAGACTACAGGGAACCACTATACTGCTTTTTGGTTTTTGATGTGTGGGTTTTAGTTGTTTTTCTTTTCCCTCCAGAGCTGGCTTGCAAATGAAGTAGAAGTTCTTGTTAGTACTGAAGAGGCTCGACGACACCTTGCAGACCTTCTGGAAGACAGAAAGATCTTGGCACAGGAGCTCCTTCAGCTTAAAGAGAGGAAAGAGGCTGGGGAAAACCCACCTCTAAAGCTCCGGGTAAGAGAGGGAAATGTCACTTTCCCTGCCCCATGCTTCTGGCTGTTCAGCAAGTACTGTCACTTTTTTTTTATTGACTCCTATTTGACCATTTCCCTCAGAAGGCAGGGATGGAGATGGTTACCTTTCTGGAAGAAAGGGCTGATGTTGTTACTGTCCTGTGGCAAGTCAGGGAACAGGGTTGCTGAAGTAACTTGCTACTTAATGCAATGAATCTGATGGATGAGAGTGGGTCACATCCCTTATCAAAGACTTTATGCTTTTGGGAAGGAGCAGTGGAATTTAAGTATATAGAGATATTTGGAGGCCTTTGTAATAGTATGACTCCTCTTTGCTGAAATGTCTGTAAGTGAAAGCCCAGTCTTGTGTGCATTTCTTCACCTATTGCTCATTTCTGTCCATTGCTGCAATTCTTTAGAGACGCACCTACTCCCTCACAGATTTGCAGGCATCAGAGATGGACCTGTCCATATCAAAGCAGATAGAAAGCCTGGAAACGGAGATGGGGCTCAGGTAAGGCAGTATGACAAAGCTGATTTGCACAACCTTGCCTATGTTTTTTTTTCCCCTCATCTCTATCTACAACTCCTCTGTTTCACAGAAGAGGAAGTAAAACAATTTACACACTGACACTAGAAATTATGAGATAAGACCATGTGGTTTCCTGGTTTCAATTTTTCCAAAGTGTGGGGATGTGGGGACACTACTTAGGCACTAAGATTGCTTTTTTTTCTTAGCTGTTTGTGAGCACCTCTGTACGAAGGAAACACTGCATTCTTAACTGGAAGTGTGGACGGGAGGAGAAACTCCCTGGTATAGCATTGCAGACTCCAGCTGCCATATTAAGCAGTCAAAATTTTAACTTGAACAATTTTTGTCTAATATTCTGGTAACAGTAATTTTAAGCCAGACACTAACCCAGGTTTTCTCCTGTGTTGTTATAACCTCAAATACATGTATTCTTTCAAAGGAGTGCCCAGATAGCGGATTTACAGCAGAAACTCTTAGACGCAGACAATGGAGATCGCGCAAAACAGCGTTGGGACACTATTGCAACAATTCTAGAGGCTAAATGTGCTTTGAAATATCTCCTTGGAGAGGTAAATTCTGAATTTTCCTATTTTATCACTAAAAACAAATGCTCTAAGTCTGCTTAGCCAGGAATGAAAGGAAGTGACTAACAGCCTGACCGCAGAGATGAATTCAAGTGAAGCACTCTTGTACTGGATGAGGTTTATTTCCCTCACAACTTCTGATTGAAATATTCTCCTGTACTGTATATCACTTTGGGGAGTGAAACCCAAAAAAACAGGGAAGAAGGAAATGGAGTAGACATGGGTCTGGAGATATCAGCTAAATCTGTGCTTACAGAAGACTTGCATGGGAATAGTAAAAGGGAAGAGACAAATTTCTGAAGTGGAAGAGAAGAAAGTACCTAAAAATGCTTCCTGAACAAGTAGACAATCTGCAGGGAAACAAGGGGAGCACTATCTGAGGTCAGAGTGGAAGCAGTGGAACGGATGTTTAGATGGGAGAAGCCCGAACAAGACTTGGGGCTAGGAGAGAAGTAGGTATTGGGCTAATGTGGAATCAAGGAAAGAGCAACTGAATTACAGAATCGTATCAGTCTCTGGTCCTTGGAAACTAAAGGAAAAGAATAAAGGAACTAATATGGGAGAACATTCATTTTTGGGGTCCCCCTAATACTCAGATTTAAAGTGCTGCAGGAAAGAAGGTTAACTTAGCAGGAAGTCTTGTTAACAGTTCTATCTGTTTTGCACTTCCATAATGGTTGTCAGATGTCTAGCCCTGAGCCTCTCATCTAGTCTCCTTGTTGCTGATGGCCAGTCCAATTTTTAGGGTGGCTGGAAGTTAAACAGAAATGCTTTGCCTTCAGGCTGCAGCATGTCTGTCCTGACAGACATTGTGAAACATGGAACTTGCTGACCCAAGCAAACATCTTGCTTTTGTCTTTCAGCTGGTCTCCTCAAAAGTGCAGGAAAGCAAGTTGGAGAGCAGCCTTCAGCAGAGTAAAGCCAGCTGTTCAGACATACAAAAGATGCTGATTGAAGAGCGAAACCACATAACAGAGATGGAGGCTGAGTTCCAAAATCAGCTTTTGGTGCAGGAACAACACCACCAGGAAAAGGTAAAACATAAGTGATAGAAATCTTGAGAGCTCCTGTGTCTTGGACTCTGATTCCCAGATTGGCTCAGAGATAAAAGCAAAGAGGGTATGCTGAAATCAATCTGTTGCTATATACCTGATCAAGACTTGTTAGACTCTTGCAGATAGTTAAAGCCCAAGAAATCTCCCTATTCATCTTTGTCCTATGCAAATTGCTTTATTCAATAACTTTCACAGTGCTTTAAGTGAGGATGTTACACCTGAGCACAAGATAACTTTTAAAGTAGATCAGGGCAGAATCATGCTGGAAGTGGCAGAAAGAATCTTTCTGAAATTGTCAAGGCCTTTGCCTGGGCTGCCAGATCTCTCTTTAGGAATTCATGCCTGTTTGTCTCTGCTATATTAACTTGCTTTTAGGTTCTGTACCTGCTTAGCCAATTTCAGCAAAAAGAAGCAGCAGAGAAGAAATTGGAAGATTCACTAAGTGAGCAGGAGAAACAACTGCAAGAGCGACTCAAGTTCCAGGTAGAGCGTCTGGATGTGGCTTGGGAAGGGTGTGCTCATTAGGGCTACCTGTTACTTGGAATAGTAGCTTTAGAGGGAGGAAGGTGCAGAAGGATTGGGAGCGTTTCCATTTGTAGCTAGGATTGCTCGATTCAGTTGTTTGCGGGGGATAGTTGCTATACAGGTTTGAATAAGCCTGTGGGGTAATTTTTCCTCTTGTGTACTCTCTTCTGTTAAATAAATGTAAATGCAGCAATGAGGCCTGCCACAATCTGACCCACTCAGCAAACTTCTTCCATGCTCAGAACACCTTTAGTTAGGATATTCAACATGCTATCACTAATCCTTTGCTGAGTGCAGCTCTGCTGCGCTATCAGCAATGGAAGAACTTTAGCTTGATCATATAAACATGTTACAAGCTGCACCTTTTCTTGCCACCAAGAGAATTAAGTGGTTTAGCAAGCTCCTGTGGAGGGGCATGTTCAGTGATGTTTTAAAGCAAAATCAGTCCTAGGTGCACCTGATTTGGAGATAAGCCTTAGAAGTAGAGGGAGGTTTAGATCTTAAATGGTCACTCTGAAAGGATCAAATTCTCTCTGTTGTATTGGCTGTGTTATGCGTAAAACAAGGTGGTAGCACTAATAATTTACCTGATCTAGAAGTCAGAGCTGATCTCCTGTCAGAGAATACAACAAAACCCCTCTGGTGTTGCAAGAAAGATCCAAACAGAAAAATCTGTCCCAAACACCTACTTGTGCTACCCCCATGTAAGCCTACAGTTTTCCTCTTGTCTTGCAAACAGGAGGAGGAGCTGGCGAAAATGAGGGAGGTCTGTGAGAAGAACCAAGAACTTCTCCGGGAAAATGACACTCTTAAACAGGTAGAGATTTGTACAGACATAAGTATGAGAGCTTCCTGGCAGTTGGGTTAATGTATTTTGTAAAGCTAACTTTTGTCTCTCTTAACAGAAACTGCTGCTCCTCCAAGTTGCCAGTGGACAGAAGCTCCATCACATTCAGCAAATGCCATCGGAGTCTCCAGATTCTTCTTTTGATTACATTCCACCCAAAGTAAAGATGCTTCATATCAGTTTTCACGCTTGTATTGTACCTGGGTTCTTTTCAAAAGTTAATGTTGGCTATTAATAATCTTGGTTTCTTTCTCCCAAGCTGCTTTTTACAAGGCATCTTGTTCTGCTTATTGAAGTAGGCCTGTTCTCTACTTCAGACAGTCCTTAAGGTTTCTGTTTTCAGAAAACTTCTGAAACTAGCTTGCACTAGTTTTTTTGATTTTAAAAAAACAAACAAAACACAAACCCTCAGAAAACACCAAAACCTATTCCCTCACTGTCTAATTATGTCTGACTTTATATCCTCCTTAGTAATCCAGGTGTTTTCTTTGTAGCACTTCCAGTCTCTGAATCATGGAGCAAGGCATCTGTCATAGAAAATTTAATCGTTGCCTTGCAAAAGAGCCAAATCTTAGAGCTGGGAGGAATAAATGATTTAAAACTATTTTGTCAAGACTATTTTGTGACACAAATCCATTAAATTTCCAAGGATTTGTTAACTATAGCAGTTTAAATTGACTGATTGAATTTTTAATCCTGACAATTTGATCGTTTGTCTCCTCCTTAGACAGCCAAGAAAGCTACAGGGTTAAGAGGAATGGGGCTGTGGTGGTGGGACTCTGAAGTGCCTTAATAAAATGTAAACTCACTGTTATTTTTTCTGGGTCTTCAACCCTCATAATTTCTGTGTGTAGCCAAAGACTCGCCGGCAAACGACAGCAAAACCCCGTGCACTAACCCCAGAAATGGATGTAGAAGAGCTGTTTTCTGACTCGGGAGAGTCTGATGGGGAGGTGGAGGATGCAGACTGGGTTCCAGTAAAAGCAGTCAAAGGAACAAAGAAAAGTGTGATGGGGGTAAGATCCAGTTACCTTTGACTTGTTATTACCTATTAGGGAATCACTTGCCTGTGTCCCTAACGATCTAGGACGTGTACAGAGAAACAGTGAGATTGTAGTGTGTCTGCTATTGTTCTGAAAAGCCTTAATATGATCATGCTGCTGGCATTGGTTATTTATGATCTTCTGACAGAAAGAGCAAAAGTTGCATATAGTCACCAACACCTTCCTAAATAGTTTTTCATTGGACAAGTATTCTCCTACCATGAGACACATGTGTTTTGTCCTGCTACCTGTGGCTGAACTGGCCTATGTGTTTCAGAATAGTGAGCCCTAACAGCAGCCTTATTCCTTCATTAAGCCTATTTTGGGGAAAAAAATGGATGGGCTGTCATGTAGCCCTATGTACTGTTCCCACTGTGGCTCCTAGTCCTGCCAGAAGCCTGAGCTTCCATCTTCTGTTTGTATCGGTCTGGGCCTGCAGCTTCAACCTGCCGCTCAGTTAATTCCTGATGGGATGGAAGAGATGATTTGAACATGCTGAACACAAGCCACTGTGAAGGAATTGGCCTCTTTGGGCTTGAATTGCCATCAAACTAGACCTCCACTGTTAGACATGTTCTTCCCCTTTCACAGAGGGGTAAATATTACATATTTCCCTCTTGAGTGACTGTGAAAATGTCAACAGTTACCACAGGAAAAACTTATGAATTTTAAGGTCTGGCTTTAGTTCCTTTCACTGGAGCTTGTCAACCTGATAAATTCTGAACTACAGTACTATTAGTGGTTTGGTTTTTGGGGAGTTCTTTTTGGCCATGTTGCAGGATGAAGGGTTTGTGCTCGACACTTGGCTCTTCAGAGTTCATTTATGTAGCCCAGTGGAACTCCAGTGCAAATTACTGCTCAGTTTGGAACTGTAGCTTGGAGCAGCTGGTGTGTGCAGTCTGCTACTGCTTCACGTACCCGGACTAGCAAAGAGATTCATTGTTCTGATACGCCGTGAAGTAGCTAAATTGAGTCATCTCCATCTAGATGGAGGGCCCTAGGTATGGTAACTTGGGTTTGCCTCCTACTGCATAAATGTCAGCTTGTCTGACTGAAACTGGCAGCCTTTTGGGTAACTTGAAGTCAGGGACTGAGTAACTGAAGATGCTTATTTGGGGGATACTGAAGCAAGAGATGGCTCTGCAAGTGGAAAGACCTGTTTCTTTGCTGGGGATGCAGGACTGACAGTGAAACAATAAAAGGTTTGTGGCAGCTTGGGGACAGTAGTGTCTTTTCGATTGCTTCAGGTGTTGACAGCTGTGGCAATCTAGATGCAGTCTGTAAAACTCCAAAGCTCTTTCTGCACAGAACTCTTCTCTTACTTTAGTGCTCCTGCAAGGGCCGATGTGGAAATAGACAGTGTGGCTGCAGGAAGCAGAAGGTGGGCTGCACTGAAGGCTGTAGCTGCGACTCTGCAAAATGCAGAAATAGAGACCCTGGCTTTCCGGTGAGTAGCGCCGTGTTTGTGGGTGCAAAAGGGCCTGCACCCAACATCCAGGCTGCAGGGTGTTTAAGCAAAGCTGGATGAATGGATAAGCGGTTATGCTGTTAGCATACATGCACAGTTTGTCAGGTAAAGCATATGCACCTTTATGAAACATTTGTCAAGGTCCCTGTAATTCAGTGTCTATCTCTGGTAATTGAGTACAAAGATTTCCACTGCGGTACCAGGCTTTTGCACTAAATATAGGAATGTGGGAGACATCACATATTTACCTACTCCCAGTTGTCAGCCATGAATCTGAGGACAAACACTTTAAGTCTTTCTTCTGCACTTAGTAAATAAAAGTTGTATCTTTGGCTTCAGATGGCACAAGAGCTTAACTTATTTTCAGATATTTTTTTTTCCCAAGAATGGAAGGGATAATTTGAGGAGGGGGGTTGTAGCATCAGGAAGGTTCACGAGCAACTGATGTTCATTAGAACTCTTGCTAGAAATGTCTGCTTTACTCTTGGATCTTAGAGATTTGAAGCAGAGACCTCCCACAGTAATTCTTCAATTATTGACTCTTTTATGAAACCAGTTGCCTGACAGAGGCATGTAGCATCCTGTACTATGAATTACTTTGCAACTGGAAAGAAGGTGGCTTAGGGACCCCTAGTATTTCTTCAGCTGTTAGTGGTGGGAAAGGAAGGGATGGATATTGTAAAAGTGCTTCAAAATGCTGCTGCCCCCCAGGATGCCACGGTGTGTGAGGACCACACAAGGGACTCAGAAGGTTCCTTCAAACTTGAAGACCCCACTGAAGTGACTGCAGGAGAGACCTTCTTTCAGCCTGTGTGCATCACACCAACCACAAAGGTACTGCCTAAAGCTGTAAGAGAGAACAGGGGTTCTGAATGTGTGCACACCTTATTTATGGCTAGTGATGGAGCTTAAAGAAGAAAAAAAACCCAAGATGATAGACTGCTGCTAGAAAATTCTGATCAGACTGCAGCTGTCAAGCCAGCCTGTGTCTTAAGAATTCAGCAGACTCAAAACTTAAGTTTTCATACTAAAACTTTGCCACACAGGCTTGCTATGCTTTCCTGCTGCACCTTCCAGCAATAAAAGACAGACTGGTAGTTGAGGAGCTCATAGGACAAAATCATATCTGTCTATGCCCAAACTTACTGTTCTTAAGCCATTGTGTACGCTGACTTGGCAGCTGTCATATTGCCTGAGCTAAATGAATTCATTATTCCTTCTGTACCCTCTGCACACTATTCCAAATGCTGTATCTTCCTCCTCAGCCCATGAATTTGTCTTTAGAATTTTGACTTGAGTGAAGACATTAAGCAACTCCTGACATTGGCCTGGCAACTTCTGTATGTGCTGCCTCCAGTGCAACCTGGCTGGCTGCTTCAGGGCAGTGACCAATTCCCAAACTGTCTTCCTTGCTTTTCTGACAGGTCCTGAAAGATATCACAGACCAAGATGTGTTCATGAAGAAGCCCAGCACTGCTGCTTCCCTGCTCGTGAGAGATGAGGAGTCCCAAGAGAACCAGATACCATTTGTAAAGAGAAAGAAGAGAATGCTGAGTAGCAATACCAGCTTCTTCTCAGGTTGCACCCCTATCAAAGAGGAGCTTGACTGACGAGCCTGGGAGACGCCCCATGACTGGGTTGTGCTGTGCTTTAGACCATGTTGCTGGTGACCTTTTCTAAAAGTGTTGGGATCTCTCACTGCAGCAAAAACCTGATGGCTGCTGTGCTTGATGACTTCTGGCCTCGGCAAGGGAGTCAAACACTAGTTTTTGCTAGATTGTGTCCAATTCTTTGTAAATATTTGTATGTGTGGGCCTGGTGGTAACAGACTCTTGCCTCTGGACTTTCTGTAGTGAGTGAAGGTGACTTATCCAGGTTGCTCATTCCAGCTGCCTTCCTCATCCTGAGCTGTGAACACGTTGCGTACAGTTTAATCCATAATCTTGAAAGAACTTTGCATTTGCACTGGAAATCCGGGTACTCTTCCGA